CCTCTACCAGGGTACAGACATGGGGGCAGGTTCAGCTTCTCTTTAAACAACGTTAATAGTCACAGGTTATCCTGCTCACTGAGGAACCTAGCTTTCAAAGCCTCCTGGATGCAGAGCGCGTCCCGCTGGGCTGTTCTAATCGCCCGGCTGTCTGGCTGGGCGTAATCAGCAGCCAGGCTATTCGCCTCAACCTCCCACCCCGCCATAAAGGTCTCCCCCTTGCTCTCACAGAGATTGTGGAGCACACAGCAAGCTGCAATAACAATGGGGATATTAGTTTCGCTGAGATCAGAGCGAGTCAGTAAGCTTCTCCATCTCCCCTTGAGACGTCCAAAAGCACACTCCACCACCATTCTGCACTTGCTCAGACGATAGTTGAAGAGTTCTTTTTCACTGTCCAGGGCGTCTGTATAGGACTTCATGAGCCAGGGCATTAGCGGGTAGGCTGGGTCCCCAAGGATCACTATAGGCATCTCCACATCCCCAACAATTATTTTCTGGTCCGGGAAGTAAATACCTTCCTGCAGCCGTCTAAACAGACCAGAGTTCCTGAAAACACAAGTGTCATGAACCTTGCCCGGCCATCTTACGTTGATGTTTGTAAAACGTCCCCTATGGTCCACCAGTGCTTGCATTGAAAAGTAGCCCTTTCGGTTAATGTACTGGCTGGCCTGGTGGTCCGGTCCCAGGATAGGGATGTGAGTTCCATCTATAGCCCCACTGCAGTTTAGGAATCCCATCGTGGCGAAGCCATCTATGATGACCTGGACGTTTCCAAGGGTCACTACCTTTGACAGCAGTAGCTCAACGATTGCGTTGGCTACTTGCATCACAGCAACCCCCACGGTAGATTTGCCGACGCCAAAGTGATTCACGACTGACCAGTAGCTGTCTGGCATTGCAAGCTTCCAGAGGGCTATGGCCACTCGTTTCTGGACAGTCAGGGCTGCTCGTATCTGGGTGTCCTTGTGCTTCAGGGCAGGGGACAGCAACTCACAAAGTTCCAGGAAAGTTCCCTTCCGCATGCGAAAGTTTCTCAGCCACTGGGATTCATCCCAGACCTGCAGCACTATGTGGTCCCACCAGTCCGTGCTCGTTTCCCGGGCCCAGAATCGCCGTTCCACAGCATCAACATGACCCATTTCCACCATGATGTTCAAGGCATGGGGTCCCGTGCTTTGTGAGAGGTCTGTGCCACTCTCAGACTTCATGTCCTCACCGCGCTGCGGTAGCCTCCTTGTCCAATTTCTCAGCATCTGCCTCTGGAAAAGGTGTATGATAAGGTGCAAGGTGTTGACAACGGCCATAACTGCAGCGATGGTCGCAGCGGGCTCCATGCTTGCAGTGCTGTGGCGTCCAAGCTGTCACTCACTAGAAAAGTGCGCGAATTGATTGCCCACCGGCGCTTTCAGGGAGGGAGGGCGGGAGTGATGGTTGGATGACAACCGTTACCCCAAACCACCCTCGACACATTTTTTTCCCCAGCAGGCATTGGCGGCTCGACTCAGAATTCCAATGAGCAGCGGGGACTGCGGGAACTGTGGGATAGCTGCCCACAGTGCACCGCTTCCAATGTCGACGCTTGCCCCGTTAGTGTGGACTCACAAAGTCTATTACTGTCCTTAGTGTGGATATACACGTTCGACTTTGTAATATCGATTCCACATATTCGATTTAAGTAAAATCGAACTACTCTCGTAGTGTAGACATACCCTAACATGGCTACCCCTCTGATAAAAGAGCCTAAGTGAGTTAAGGAGGAAAATTCCTATTGAAAGTTGTTGGGAGCTGACTTGAGATGAAGGGGAGTTGATGTGAGTCACATTAGCTGCCTGACTCTGTTCTGTCGCATAGTGATTCTGCTCACAACTTTCCATACAATGAGGTCATGAAATGGAAATTGTTGAAAAACCACTTTAAGGTGGAGTTGAGGCCTCTCAACTGCAGGAAAATAGTAAACAAATCATGTTTTTTCATAATGTGTAGAAATGCACCAAATTTGGTAAAGGTTAGAGTGGGGCTGGGATTGTGAAGTAAAACATTTACAAATTTTATTAAAGCTAATGTTAAAAAAATTATATAATACATAGGTTGGGAAAAGTGTCTATACATCTGGGTATAGTGCTTGGATTATCCACAAACACAAAATTTGTTTTTAAAGTCATATGATACATAGAGTACGTAATCAGCAATAACCCAAATTAAGGTGAATAGATTAAACCAGGGGTAGGCAACCTACGGCACGTGTGCCGAAGGTGGCACACGAGCTGATTTTCAGTGGCAGTCACACTGCCTGGGTCCTGGCCACCCATCTGGGGGGGGGGGAGGCTCTGCATTTTAATTTGATTTTAAATGAAGCTTCTTAAACATTTTAAAAACCTTATTTACTTTACATACAATAATTTAGTTTTATATTATAGACTTATAGAAAGAGACCTTCTAAAAACATTAAAATGTATTACTGGCACGCAAAACCTTAAATCAGAGTGAATAAATGAAGACTCGGCACATCACTTCTGAAAGGTTGCCAACCCCTGGATTAAACAATACAGTTTAGACTTTAGAATCCAAATACTCAGGTACATCACTCATGAAAAGTTGTACAGAGATTTGGTTGTGGAAAGCAAAATATATCAATGAGTAGCATTACTAGTTCAGCCTGGCAGTGATGTGTGCTTAGACTAAAATTTCTGCGGGCAGTTGGTGCTGTATATGGCTCATCTCTCATCTTGCTGGTCACCCTGTGCTGCAGCTGTGTGTGTGTGTGTGTGTGTGTGTTTGTTTTTTAACATGAATCTGCAGGAGAAGATTAAGGTCTACCTAACCCAGTGCATGCAGTTTTAAATATGGGATAGAAACTTTAACCTTGTGCATGTTCCTTGATAATTAACAGGATGGGTTTTAGATACCTGCCTCTTGTGCTGACCTTCAGGAAGGAGAGATGCATGAAAGGAAATGCAACTGAAGCCCCACATAGACAGCATGCTCCTTCAGCTGGTTCCACAGCACCAGTACAAGTGCGGGACTTATGAGCACCACCTGTAAGTGCCACATCCCTCCAGTTGCTCATGAACTGCACAATTCTAACTCACTTGCTCATAGATGAGGAAAATCCTCCTAGCTACACATTTACCTTAGTTTGTTCTTGTGCCTTTTTCTGCCATTTGCATTGTCTCTGCTTCCTGCCTTGTGCCGTTTACAGCCCTTTGGACATGGGGGTTACTTATGACCCTGCTAAGGGGGTGCTCTGGGAAGGAGGAACAAGCTCTTCTTAGTAAATTCACAGGTAACCATCCTCTTTGTTCTGTTGAACAAAGCAATCAGAGTAAACACCTGTGACCTTGCAACAGCTGAGCAACTTCTCTTTTTGCAGCAATAATAGAGAATTCACTCTGCAAAAATTCCCTTCTTTAAACATATCCCCCCCATACAGTAGCTTAGTGACACCCGCTATCAAGACTGTTCCCTTGAATTTCCAAGCTTTTTCAAATGTTAATTGGCAAATGTAAATGCCACCGGCAGTGACAGAATTGCCAGGCCCAAGTCTTTAAAAAAAACCCCTCAGGCCTCCAAAAACAGAGACTGCTTTTAAAAAGCCTGAGATGATGCTTTTAAAAGTACACTTTTTGGGTCCCTACACTTTTTAGGTCCCCCTCTTTTTTGGGGGGGGGCCTTTTGGTCACTCAAGCAACTATGAATATATTTTTTTAATGGAAGTGGATAGTCTCATCATCCATTTGAGAACAAACACCCACTCCTGTGAGACTTGTGATAAAGCGGCAATTTAAGGGATGGTTGGACTTAGGGGCTAGATTTTAAAAAGAAAAGGTGAAATCCGCGCTCCGCAGCAGTAAATGACAGAGCTCCCCTACCCCTGGATTT